ACACTAACATTTGCAGTATAAATATGCCTGGAGAATAAGAAAACACTACAGTTGTGACAACCCTGGGATCTGTTTATTTTTGGCAAGAAATAATGATAGAAATTGTTTTTAAAGCAGTTGTTGTTACTCTTGTTAGGTGCTGTCCTCTGAACAACAGAACTGAGCCCTGTGCTATCCTGTGCCATCCTCACAATATACTCAGATAAACTTGAGCCCAATAAAGGAATAAAAATGAAAATAATTATCAGAAGAAATGTCTTACAATTGAAGTCAAATGTAAAGCTGTCTCTGAGGGTAGAATTAAGCTTTTAAAAAGAGTCATTTCCATACTTAGAAAGGATTGATGGCTTTTGACAGCATCTCTGCTTGTTCACTGCCCCACCCGAAGGAGTATATTTGTCATCTAACAATGTTGACTCTCAGGTCAGACTCCAGCAACTAAGGACACGTCTCCTTAACTTATATGAAATCTTCCTTTCTTCTGCAGCTACAGAGGTTCCTAGACCCAGATAATTTTTTTGCACAGTTTTTCTGTCTAAATTCATTACAAGCATAATTACTTCATTGAGAAGTTCTAACTATTAATTTAGAATGTTTCCTTTAAGTTCCAAAATTATTATACTACTTTTTCCTTTTTAAATGCCATCTTCAAAGAGATAAGGATTCATGGGGAAAAGACCATGAATTTTTATGTATTTTAACTTATTTGTTATTCCTCATCCTCTCTGTCTATTTTAAAAATAAATATGTAAATTTAGGAAGAAATGGATTTTCAAGTTTAATCTTTTATGCATGAACTATCTATCAATCAAAGCCCAGGATGTTGGAAATAACGGTTTCAATGCGTAGAAATCCTAAGGCATTAAGCTTACGGTGAGATGGAAGTTAAACTTTTCCTGCATGTAAAAACATTTTTAAAATGTATTTCATTTTGTTTATTGTCTTTTGGGTGGATGCTTATCAATTTGTTTTCCATTCAACAACTTATATGCTTGGTTTGGTTTTGTGACATTAGTTTCAATTTCCTCAATGTAACAGGATTCTTCCCAATAACTCACTGGGTTCCCCATTTCCAATCACTCTTCTTTCCTGCCTTCTGAACTTTGCCAGTAAATGCTACCTCTTTCATCTTATGCAGTTGATTGTTCTGAGGATTACATTCAAGAATATGGCTGTTTATTTGATGTCTGTTTGTTGTTTGACTGAAAGGCGATCCTTGAGGAGAACTGAGTTCCAGGTTTGAAGGGTGTCTAAGGGCTGTAATCTCAGAGGTTCCTTCTACCAGTGTCTTTCACAAGGATTTTTTTTCTTCATTGCTACTCTTTGAATTTTGTTCTACATTTTCTCATAGTCTACCTAGGATTTCTATTATATCCTGATCAGAGTGATCAGATGCAGCCGCTGGGCACCATTTTGTTTTTCTGGTCTCTGATGAGTAGAGGCTGTAGTTTGTGTGGTCTATTAGTTCTTTGAACTACTTGCTTGAGTCTTTGATGTTCTTCTTTCTTTTTTGTTCCAGACAAAGAGTGATCAATTGTTTCATCTTGGATGGCAAAACACTTAATGTGTGCCAGCTTCTTTTGTATCTTTCTCTGAGCCAGAGTTTGAAAAAACTAATTCATTCAACATTTTTATTTACAATTTTTGAAAAATTGCCCTTATAGGCAAAGTTCTGAAGTTCAAAAAGTTACTCATATTTCCCAGCTTTGTGAAATTACATTCACTTACGGTTTTAAGTAGTACTAGCTTTGTAATCTTCTTCCCTCATAGTTCGTACCCTAAAAAACTCAATACAGGGTTGCTGTGAGTCAGTGTATACATTCCTGATGCACAGCCTTCCTGACTTTATACTATGCAATGTTCCCTTGATACGTTTAGACAACAACTTCTTAATTTAGGTATAACTCTCTCACGAGCATAATTAAGTGTTTTGGAATTCCTATTCTTCTCAGTGTTAGTCATAGAGATTCAAGTCATGGTATTTCAATCACCTGCTATGCATCAGAGAGCTGGACAATGAACGAGAACAAGAGAAGAAGAATTGATGCCTTTGAATTGTGGTGTTGGAGAAGAGTACTGAATATCCAATGGACTGCCAAATCCATAAACAGGTCGTCATGAGAAAGGGCAGCCAGGGTGCTTCTTGGAGGCAAAGATGACAAAGCCTTGTTTCTCATATTTGGGACTTGGTGCCAGACAAGAATGTTCCTTGGAAAGAGATATCATGCTTTGAAAGACAGAGGGTCCAAAAAAAGGAGAGGAAGACTTCCAACAAGATAGAGTCAAGCAGAAACTCCAGCAGCGGGCTTGAGTATATGTTAGGGATGATGAGGCTGGGATAGAATAGGGGTCCAGGTCTGTTGTTGACAGAGTCACTATGAGTTGTACTCAACTCCACCGCATTCAATAACAAATTGATGGCAGTGAGTGTTGTTTAAATTTACCCTTTTATCACATTACTTCCTGACATCAGAGGGCAAGATAGTGGACTGAAAGGAGTATTAGATGAACTGTCATCAATTATGGGGAAAGTGCTCTATTTTCTTTCTATTCTTAGCAGATTTTCAACTTTTCACTAACTATGTACACTCATTTGAGCTTATTTTTAAAAGAAAATAATAAACAAAGTGAAGTTATGTTATTTAAGTATGTACATGTTGAAATTTTAAGCCCTATGATAAGCTTTAATCAAAGAGAAAATAATTAGACTGTTAGCATGGAGCGAGGTGAATGAAACTTAGATGAGTATAATACCAAAAAAGCAAATGGCATATTTTATAATGAAAACTAATATTTTTGCCTACCTACTATGTGCTATTTACCATTGAAAGCACTTTGCCTACATTTTTATATAATCTTCCCACAAAGAGCGCTTTGTCTACAGAGAGTTAAACTGCTAATCCAAAGGCTATGCCTCTCTAGTGGTTCAAATCCACCAGCAGCTCCATAAGGAAAAGATGGGTAATGCCCTGCAGTGCAATTTAAAGCCTTGAAAAAAATCAATACTAGCTTAGCTTTGAGTTGGTTCCAACGTGATGGCAATGAGTTGGTAGTTGGAATTACCAAGAAACCTCACACTCTCCAACTTGTTGGGAATGGCAAGTCATTGTGTGATGTTCTTTCCAATGTATGGATAAAGAAACTGATATTTCAGACATGGTCAGTGCTATCTGCTTTGGTGATCACTGAGTGTACAAGGTAGCAGAACTCAGACTGGGATCTTCTGGTCCCAAGTCTTGTCAGTGTTCCACTCAGCAGATGATGGCTTTGGTCTTTACTTTCCCTATACTCGCCATGAGGCCTTTGGTAAAAGACTGAATAAACCAAGGACTGAATAATCTCAGAGTCTTTATACAGAAGTTTTCAGTTTCAAGAGCTTGACTCAAATTGTTGTATTTAGTCAAATTCCAAAAGAAATAATCTCTGTACATTCATTTAGAGCTGAAAGAGAATTCAATATTTGGTAAATCACTACATTGTCCACAAAATGTTAAGATTCTATCAAAGAAAAAGAAATAATTTCACATTGCTCTGAAATTATGATCTTAAGTCATCTTTTAAAATTTGAGCTTGTATTTCATTGCCAATTTTCTGTTGTTAAAGGTTTCACCATTCTGAGCAGTTAAGAATTCCATTAACACCTTCATAAGCAAAACAATATGACAGCATCTCCAAGGATATTTGAACTGCAGTCGTAAAAGCCCTTAGCGATTTAGTGATGAATTGTATACTCTTGAGTAAATATATATATAATTGCAGACCTGGGTTTCTATGCTTGAAAAATAAGTAGATGACTTTCTGCATTTCTAACAGGAATATTTACCATTAAGTATGTGTGTAGGGAGTGGGAGGAATATATATATGTG